AGACAGAGACACACAGACACACAAAGAAACACAGAGATAGACACACAAAGAAACAGACACAGGCACACAGAGACAACCCAGAGTCAGAGAGGCACCTCCACAAATGCATATGTACCTAGAAACACACCCAGACAGACCCACAGACACAAAGAGACACAAATAAACAGAGAAACACACAGAGACCCAAACAGATATAGAGACATACAGACAGGCTCATAGACACTCTTTCTGAGCCTTTCTCAGACAAACCCTATTTCTTGCCTTGCCTCTCATTCTCTGTGCCCCTAATGAACATTTATGAAGCACCCACTGTGTACTGGGCCCTGTTCTAGGCGTTAGGGTCACAGGCGGATCGAAACTGAGCCCCCTGCCCTTGGAAGGATGAACATTCTCCAGGGTGTGTGTGGGGGGCTGTCAGTGTACAGGATCAATATAGAACAAAAAGGAGGACTGGGGCGCCGGCCAAGGGGCTCAGTTGGTTAAGAGTTGGCTTAAGAGTGTGAACTCTGAGCAACAGTGCCTCTGGTTCGATTCCCACATGGGCCAGTGACACTGTGCCGGAGCTGAGTTGTTGCTAAGCTGCCAACAAGGCAGGATGGCTCAGCTGGTGTAACAACAATATTGCCTGTTCAATGGTGGGCTACGCCCACCCACAACTAAGACTGAACTCAGCACCTTGAGCTGAACTGCCGCCCAGATGGCTCAGTGGATAGAGTGTGCGCTCTTAACAACAAGGCCGCTGGTTCAACTCCCACATGGGATGGTGGCTACGCCCACCCGCAACTAAGATTGAACACAGCACCTTGAGCTTAGAGGCCACGAGCTGCCAACGGGAAGCCAGATAGCGACTGGTGCCCTCCACAACGAAGATTGAAGAACAACAACTTGGCTGGTCCCCTTCCCCAATCCCCCAACACTTTTCCCCTCCCCTAAATCCCCAATAAAATCTTTAAAAAAAAAAAAAAAGGAGGACTGGGGAGGGGTGGGCAGGGGATGGCAGGATGGGAGGGAGTGGGGAGGGTGCTTTGACTAAAGGCTTAGGTGGTGAGTGAGGGAGCCATATGGACATGCAGTAAGTGTTCCTGGCAGAGAGCAGCCAGTGCAGAGGTCTCTCCATTGCCCCTCCTCCCACCCCCTCCCTCAGCTCCTACTCAGGCCATTTGGAAGGGGAGGGGTGGAGAGGGACAAAATGAGGAGAGTAGTCCCTCCAGATATCTGCCCCCCAGTGGGCCTGGTCATCTTCCATCCCACAGATGGGGACACCACAGGGATCAGAGAGGNCTCAGCACCTTGAGCTGAACTGCCGCCCAGATGGCTCAGTGGATAGAGTGTGCGCTCTTAACAACAAGGCCGCTGGTTCAACTCCCACATGGGATGGTGGCTACGCCCACCCGCAACTAAGATTGAACACAGCACCTTGAGCTTAGAGGCCACGAGCTGCCAACGGGAAGCCAGATAGCGACTGGTGCCCTCCACAACGAAGATTGAAGAACAACAACTTGGCTGGTCCCCTTCCCCAATCCCCCAACACTTTTCCCCTCCCCTAAATCCCCAATAAAATCTTTAAAAAAAAAAAAAAAAAAGGAGGACTGGGGAGGGGTGGGCAGGGGATGGCAGGATGGGAGGGAGTGGGGAGGGTGCTTTGACTAAAGGCTTAGGTGGTGAGTGAGGGAGCCATATGGACATGCAGTAAGTGTTCCTGGCAGAGAGCAGCCAGTGCAGAGGTCTCTCCATTGCCCCTCCTCCCACCCCCTCCCTCAGCTCCTACTCAGGCCATTTGGAAGGGGAGGGGTGGAGAGGGACAAAATGAGGAGAGTAGTCCCTCCAGATATCTGCCCCCCAGTGGGCCTGGTCATCTTCCATCCCACAGATGGGGACACCACAGGGATCAGAGAGGCTATATCACACACCTGAGGGCACATGGCACAAATGGGGGCCTAGGTCTGTCTGAATTGGGGGCCTGTCTTCAGGGAGAGGAGCCCCTGCATTGAGAATAGTGATTGGCAAAGGCTGGGCCAGGGAGGATGTCAGGCCCTTGGACAGTAGACACCTGCCTGACTTGAGGCGCTGGAGCACGAGTCACTGAACTGGATACTGCAGGGCATGGAGAGGCAGTGACAGACAGGTAGACATCCAGGACTTCAGTCCCCAACCTGCTGGAACAAGGGAGCAGCAGCCCTGGAAACAACCAAAGGGGGCCAGGTCCGGAGGGGTGGTGATTTGGGAGCTGAGTCAAGATGAGAGGAGGGGTCTGACAGCACAAGTAGGACTCTGAATGGGGGGCTTGGAAGTCTCTATGAGTCTCCTATGGCTGCAGTAACAAATCATCACTAATTTGGTAGCTTAAATAACATACACTTATTATCTGATCGTCCTGGAGATCAGAGGTCAGGGATCCAAAATGGGTCTCACTGAGCTAAAATCAAGGTGTCCGCAGGGCTTCGATCCTTCAGTTAGAGCTAGGGGAGAATGTGTTTTTGTGCCTTTTCCAGCTTCTAGGGCCGCCTGTATGCCTTGGCTCATGGCCCCTTCCTCCACCTTCAAAGTCAGCAGTGTAGCATCTTCTAATCTCTCTCTCTGACCTCTGCTTCCATCATATTTCATTCTCTGACCTGGACCCCCTGCCTCCCCCTCATAAGGACCCTGTGATGACACTCGGCCCACCTGTATAATCCAGGATCATCTCCTCATCTCCAGAGCCTTAATTTTTTTTTTTAAGATTTTATTGGGGAATTGGGGGAGGGAACAGCGTTGGGGAATCGGGGAAGGGGAACAGACAAGTTGCTGTCCTTTTGTTCTTCAGTCTAGTTGTGGAGGACATCACTTCACTGGCCCATGTTGGTATTGTGATCATTGTGCTCTTCCTGGCTGAGGCAGATTGGTCACCAGCCATTGGATGGCCGCTCACAGTGGCTCAGGACAGCTCACGCTGGCTGCCGGCCACTCACGGTAGGTTATGGCAGCCCACTGCAGTCCCACTGCAGCCTGTGCCGTCGCTGGTGACTCAACGGCAGCCCAGCTCGAGATTGAGCTGTTGCTCACCATCTTAGCTGTAGAGGGTGCAGTGTCACTGGCCTATGTGGGATCCGAACAGGTGGCCCTGCTGCTCAGAGCTCGCGTTCCCAAGCCAGCTCTTAACCAACAAGCCACTCTGCCAGCCCTCCAGATCCTTAATTTAATCAGACCTGTCAAGTCCTTTTTGCCTTATAAGGTCACATAGTCACAGGTTCTGGAGGTTAGGACATGTAGACATCACTGGATCCATCTATCACAGGGTCCAGGGTCCAGGCCTGGCCATAATGGAACCAGGGTCTGGAAAAGGTCAATGTGGCTGGGACCAGCCAACTGGCTGGAGGGCAGCAATAGGGACAAGGAGAGCCTCCTCAGCAGGTCACCTGGATCCAGGCTTACCAGACTCTTCAATCCTACCTCCTTGTCCCTGTTCACTGAGAAGGCCTGGAGGAGAGGAGGAAGAGGCAAGGAACTCTCCCTCTGTCCTTCAGGTCTGAGCTCTGGGCCTTGTTAACGTACCTCTCCCCCCACCCAGACACCCCATACTGGACTGGCCAGCTTAGAAACAGCTCCATCTCCCCACTCCCACCAACCAGACCTTGGCCTCCCCTGATTTCCCAGACCCTGGCAATTTTACCTCTAAATCCCTCTGGAGTCCCTCCTTTCATTCCTGTCTACAACCCCCAGACCAGGCCCCAGTAGCTCCCAGTCCACTCATTTTAAATCTGATTGTGTCTAATTTTAAATCTGATTGCACTTCTCCAGAGAGAGCCCTGGAGGACCATTAGTGGCTGGCTGGCCCCACCCTGCTGTCCCCTGCTTTCACTTTCAGACCCTAACTCAGCTAAATGCCCACCCACTCATCTCTCAGATGCTACCTCCTCAGAACACTCCATGCTCCCGGATGAGGGGGGATGGGACCAGGAGAAAGAGGGTGTGCAGAAGCCAAGAAGCAGCCCAACCTCTCACAGTTCTGCCTGCGACGCTCCTGCCAGGCTGAACCCTTCCTCCAGCCTCCCCACTTTTGCCCATGCAGTTCCTCCTACCTGAAATCTCTCTCTGGCCCTGGCCCAGTCCATCCTCTTTGGAGGGCCTCTCCCTCCACTTTTCCAGGGATCTGCCTCTTCTCCCCAGGGGCCTGGATTCCCCCCATTCCAGTGGGAGTTTCCCTGTTATTATTCATTCAAATAGCAACCATGTTCTGAGCAGCTCCAGGTACAAGGCTTGTGATACAAGGCAATTCCTAGTGGCAACAACTAGACAAGAGACTTTATTGTTTTCCTTTTTAGATGTGCCATGGAGCTCTTGGAGGGAAAGGGAGAGAAACAGAGTGCAGGTGGAGGGTGGGGTGGAGGTGGGGAGTGGGCTCTTTGGAGGTGACTGAGGCCTGAGGGAAAAGGACTTAGCATTTGAAGAGAAAGAAAAGTGGGGAGTGGGTGGGGGGTGGACAACAAGTGCAAGGCCTGAAATCTGGATTGGAGGGACAGGTTCTTCCACACTTGCAGCAGAGGTCCCTTGTCCCCTCCCGGTTCCTATGTGTGGAAATCAAATCTCAGTGATGTGAAGCAATTTGCCTAGGGCCCCACAGCCCAGAAAACCTCAACTTCCCCCACCTCCCTAGGATCTGCTTCAGGAAGAGGCTTATTGTCCAAAGGTGAAGCCATTTGCCCAGAAGTCACGCTGTTGGCCAGCCGCTCAGGAACCCCCTTCCCTTCAACTGGTTATAGCTGGACCCTGAGTCCCCAGTTGCGCAGAGACGACCTCTGCCTGATTTGGGGTTGTCCTCCATTCATGGCTTGCGCAGGCTGTATGTCCCTGTGAGCTGCTGATCCCAGGACACTTTCGGTTCCAGACGCCAAGAGGGGACTCAGCACTCTCCCCTGTTGGCCTCCGTTACGTGGGCACCTCGGTTGCGCCACCACCCACGCCGGCCTATCTCTCCAGCTCTGCCCCCTGCACCCTATCAAACCACAGACTTTGCCCTGCTGCCCTCCACGCCTCCCAGCCTCCAGAATAGGCCTTAGGGCCCCTAACTCTGCGGTTGGTCCCTGTGCGCGCCTCGGTTCCACGAACCACAAACTGGGCGGGCTTGGCCTGAGAACTGGGACAGGTCCCCAGAATCTGGGCACCGGAGACGGCCTCTGAGGCCTGAGGCGGTGTCCGGGCCTCCCCCGCAACGCCCAGCGGTGCGCTCCAGCAGATCAGGGCGCCCCCGGAGTGTTGGCAGTTGCGCGGGTCAGAGCCAGGCCAGAAGAGGGGACCTCGGAGGGGGCGAGGGGCCCGTGTAACGAATAGAGGAGAATCAGGGGCCAGGCTGAGCGCTCAGCGGACCGTGCTGAATTCAAAGACAAGAGGTAAAGTTCAGGCAAGATATCTGCGGCTGGATCGCGGCCGAGCGCGCCTCGGGGCGGGGCCCTGAGAGGGCAAGGCTAGGGGCGGGGCCGGGTGGCGCACGGCGGGGTCCGGGAAGCGGCCTATTGCGGGCAGGGAGCCGAGCGCCGCCAGGCCCCCGCGTCTCGCTGGGCCCCGCCCCCAGCCCAGCCCTTCCAGGCCCTGCCCCAAGCTACCCTACAACCCTCTTCCCCGGCCCCTCCCCGAGGCGGTGCCGGGAGCGGAGTCCGGCTACCTCGTGCGGTCTGCGTGCGGTTCTTTTGTTTGCCAGGCGCGCAGTCCCCTGCCCCGCTGCGCCCAGCCGCCTGCGCCCCCAGGTAAGCGAGACCCCGGCTCCCGGAACGCCGCCCGAAACGCCACCCTCGCGGCCAGCTCCGGCCCCACCTCCGCAGCCATGGCGGCCCCGACCCTGCCCCCAGACGCTGCCGCTAGGTCCCCCACCATCCTGCTCGGGACGGCCTCTCGGGGCTTCCCATCTGGTCACAGGCCCGTGCCGCCTACCCGAGAGAGCCCCACTCCTGCGAGGGCCCGGACGCGGTGCGCTACCGGTGATGCGGCTGCGAAACGGGTGGGAGGGGCTGGGGGCGAGCTTGACATCGTGACGCAGGGGAATCCGGCAGTGTGAACGCGGGGAGCGCGACGGGAGTATCTGTCCGTCTGTCACCAGCAAATCCTTACGGAGTGCCTAGTGGGTGCCACCGACGTGCCAGGGCTGGGAATGCAGCCGGGGCCCTGGCCGCAGAGTTCGCTGCCCGGACGCTTAGACGACTAGGAACCGCGTAAACAGAAAATACTGGTCATTCCTGTCCGTGCTAAGTGCGGGGAAGACAAAGCACCAGGGAGATGGGGTAAGTTAAGTCAGGGAGGGCTTATCAGAGAAGGTATCATCCGGGCCTGAGCGAATCAGTCAGCGAGGGCTTTTTAGGCCCAGAAAACAGCAAGACTCTGAGGCAGGTGTTTTTGCAGAGCAGAAAAGAGGCCAGCGTGACTGAAGCGCAGGGATTGAAGGTGGGGAGAGGTTGGCCTGGGCCTCAAAGATGGGTGGTGAGGAGTATATGGATTCCGTTCTCAAGCCTGTGGAGAGACCACAGGAATATTAGGACAAAGTGGTGACATGGTCCGGTTGCATCTTAAGATCCCAGAGCTGCTGTGGGCAGAACAGGTGGGAGGAAGCTGCTGCTTTCTACCTGACTGGCAGGGTTGGTGGAAAGTTGGGTGAATTGGGGGTTCATTTTGGCAGAACATCATCCGTATCCCCTGCCTGCACAGAAGTGGGTCATGAAGAAAAATGAGTGGAGGAGATTGCTGGCATAAGTAGCTGAGAGTGTGGAGGGGCCTTTCGTGGCAGGGATGGGGAAACTGAGGGAGAAACATGTCTAGGGGGTGGGGCTCTTGCAGCTGAGTCTGACTTGTGAGGTGCCGCCTGATGGGGGAGCCTAAGCAAGGTCCCAGGTGGCTGAGTGCCCACTGGCCCCATTGAGGTGGCCTGGATCTGTTGCATGGGGACACCCAAGATAGAAATTTTGGAAATTCTGGAACATGGGGCTGTTTTCGTAGCCCCAACCTCAACTCAGTCCCCTTCCAAGAGCAGCTGCTGTGAATAAATCGGTGAGTGTGGAAACATCACTCAGCACATCTAGGTCCCGCAGGGCCCAGTCAGCCTGCAGGGAGGAGGCATTCAAGACCTTCCTTGCCTGCCCTCCCAGTCCACCTACTCCCAGCAAAGATGTCTTGAGGGAGGATGGAAGAGGTGGTGGAAATAAGCTGGGAGCTTTTGTCCTCGAACCGGCCTTTTGGCCCCAGGGAAGTTTTCTGAGCTTCAGTTTGCCCATCTGTAAAATGGGTCAGTAGCTCCTATCCCTAGAAGTGTTGTTGTGCTCAAAGGAAGCCTTGGCTAGGAAAGGGCTTGGTCATCACAATTGCAGCCTGGTCCCTGGGGGGATGGGAAAGGCTCCTGCACTCCTGGTGGGAGCTCACAATCCCATGAACCTCTCCTTTCCTGCTCTGAGAAATCGGAGTGGGTGTGTATCACTAACTGCACCCACCTCCGGACCCAGGGCCATTTGCAGATTGAATGAGTCAGGCGTGTGAAATTGGTTGGCCCAGTGCCTGGCATGGAGTGATCACTGGGCACCAGAGCTGCTAGGGTGACTCGTTGGCATGGGGAAGTGGACCTGGCTTCACTCCTCCCACCTCCCACCACCCCTGGGACACCCACAGGAAAGCAGGCATGGGGTTGGGGAGGCTCGGTCCCTTCTTATCTGGGCACCGCAGGCTGTCCCCTTTCCGCCTGTCTGGAGGTTGTCTCAGACCGCGTCCTACCAGTTTGAGTTCAGTGCCCTCAGGCTAGTGACTTCACCTCCTCGTGCTTCAGTGTCTTCCCTGCAAAATGGGAATAATAACACTCATCACCTCAGAGGTGAGCACAGTGCCCAGCTGGTAATAAGCTCCTAGTAAAACAGAGAATGCCTGGGGGGAGGGGGCCAGAGGAGTGACCTGATTCAGCCTGGGGAGGAGGACCAGGAAGGCTTCTCAGAGGAGGCGGCTGTTGACTGTGTTAATAAAGACGATTAAGAGTTAATTGAGAAGAGAGACCAGTGAGCTAAGATGTGGAGGGGGAGAAACTGCAGGATGAATGGGAGGAGCTGTGGGCAGGAGCCAGGAGATCCGGTGGAGGCAACTGCACTGGTCCAGATCACGATGGGGCTGGATCAGGTGGAGGTTTGGCTGTGTGAGAAGTAAGTGGTTCCTGGATAGATTTCCAGTTGGGGGTGGGATGGAGTAGCCACTGATTGGGAAGCAGATTCAGGTGGAAGTCAGCAATCTGTTTTCAGCATCTGGAAACTGGTGCTGCTAGAGGCCCGGGTAGAGACAGGGTGCACCCAGGTGGAGGCGAGGTATGGGGCAGGCTTTGGAGAAGCAAGCTTGGAGTTTGGGAGACATACCCACCTTGAGGGTGGGAGGATGGAGTGGGGCGAGGGTGGAAGGAAGCCAGGAGTGGGTGTTGAGCCGGAAGCCAAGGGAGCAAGGTCTTCAAAAAGAAGGAAGAGGTCAGGCTGGCCAGTCTCTGCATCTTCTGTCTGAATAATCTCTCCCCTTGGCAGGGGTCTTACTCCCTTGTTCGGTTGTCCTTCCAGTCCCTATCCCCACCCAAGGACATTCAGAATGGGCTTTTCATTGCCACCCTTAATCAGCCCCTGGGACCCAACCTGGCTCTTACTAAAGTGGTATAGAGGAAGCCTTTCTTCTCCCTCAGTCTGGACTTTATACCTTTGTTAATATGATGCTCACACTAGTTCCCCACACTAAACCAGCAGGAGTTTGGCTGTCTCCCCACCCTGTCCTGGGCTCCCAAAATGATATTTGCCCCAGGCTCCCACTATTGTGTATCTGAGGAGGGATCATGCCCCTGCCAGTCATGCCCTGGGGGCTCCTTCTGCCTGGCCCTACCACTCACCCCTGTCTGTCTGTCTGTCATTTATTCATTCAGCACAAGCTTAGGGAGTGCCTGCACTGGGAGGCACTGGGGACTAGCAGTGAACAAAATGAAACTTCCCTCCCTGCCCCTCCTCCCCATGGAGCTGATATTCTGGGAGGAGGATGAGACCTGAAGAATGGGAAGGATCCAGCCAGGTGGATGTCTGGAGGAAGAGCTTTTCAGGGAGAGGGACCAGCACGTGCAGGCCTGGTGTGTTGGAGTAGAGCAAGGAAGCCAGTGTGGCTGGAGCAGGGGGAGACAGGAAAGAAAGGTAGATGAAGACACTGAGGCTTTCAGGGCCACCATCCAAAAACAGCAGACCTTGGTGTGTGTGTGTGGGGGGGTCCTTGGTCAAAGGTGAGGGGTTGTTGTGCCCTCCTGCTTTGCAGCTTGGGGGTGGTGGTGGTGTTTTTATACTTTGTTCCCTGTGTGCACTGGTCATTCTCCTCTAAAGTCCTGGAACCATGAAGGCCAAGGGGGCCGGCGGGAGGAGGGAAGCCCACCCATTCCCCTCTCTACTTGATGGGGCTCAGCTGACCTGGGAGACTCCCTGGAGGGGCAGGAGGGAGTGGAGGGAAGTAGCCAGGGAGAAGGCAGTGACGGGGGGGATATGGAGGCAGAGGAGATGAAGACCCAGCAGGGGGAAGGAGGAGAAGGAGGTGGCAGGTGGGACAGGGCGCAGAGCTGGGTGTTAAGGTAGGATGCTCTTAGAGGTGACAGGAGCCCTGAGGGACACAGGGTTGTTAGTGGCCTGGCTGGGGCTTTAGGACAAGCAGCAAAAACCTAGGCAGGTGTGTTTCGAGGCTGGCCTGCCACCAGCCCGCTGTCACTCCCTTTGTAGGTGGAGGAGAGAAGACTCAGCCCCCCTTCCCCACAGCCCATGTGGACAGGGGCCTGGTCATCTGGGCCTAGTCACCCTCCATGCCCCCACCGCTGACCAGGTGTGCCCCAAACCCCTCCGGCTTCAGAGTCTTGGGACTCTTGGACACTGGAACCTCAGTCAGAGGTTCTGCTGAGCCAGGGCACCATTATCAGGACTGTCGCCATCCCTCATCACCCTCCAAATTGGGATGGGTGCACCCTTAAGCCGTGGTTCAGCTGTGGCAGTGATCCTGGCAGGCCCTATGGGGCCACAGCTGCAGCAAGGAGTCAGGCTCAACTAGGGAAACGGCAGGGACAAAGACCTGGAGTGACAGGAGGGGAGAGCAGGCAGGACAAGCTCTGGAAATGCCTGCCTCCGGGTCTTATTTTTCCACCTGAGATGTTGGTTAGGGCAGGTCTAAATATGAGGCTATCAGCTCCCTGTCTTTACCTCTTCCCACTCTCCCCTCTGGTCCAGCCCCACGGGCTTCTTAGATCCATCATGCGTGGCCCTGCCTCAGTGCCTTTGCACAGGCTTTTCTTCTTGCTGCCTAGAACGTCCTATCTCCGTGGTTTCCTCTTTCTCCTCTTTTGCTCAAACATCACCTTCTCAGGGAGGCCTTCCTGACCTTCCTGTTTAAAATTGCAGTCTCCATTGCCCAACTCCTCATCTCTTTTCCTTCCTTATTTTTGTCTCTTCCACCTGACATCATGAAACAAATTAATAAAATATATGCTATTTGCCACTTCCCAGTCCCACCCTCATGGAATTGAGGTTCTGAATGGGGTGGGAATCCTGATGTAGTCGGTTCCCTGCTGGGATCTCAGTGTGTAGCCCAGCAACCTGGCACACAGTAGGCACCCAATAAATGTTTATGAAATGATGACAGGCGTCCCAAGTACTTCTAGCTTCAGCCTGAGAGGCTTGGCTTGGAAGGGAAGGGACTAGGGGAAAGGAGCATAGGGCGGCAGGCTCTGGAGACAGGCGGGCTGAGGTTTGAACCCCACCTCTCCACTTCCTACTCTCTGCCTCAGTTTTCCTGCTGCAAAATGCAGACGACAGAAACACCTGGCATTACTTCCTGGGGTCCTGGCCAGAGACTGGAAGGAGTTCGGGGCAAGTCAGACCCTGAGACAGGACACTTAGCACTTCCCAGAATTTTTCTGAAACTTGTTGAGTGAGAGGTTTTACTTTACTTCGGGTGGTCAGAGCCTCTCTGAGGAGGTCATATACCGGAGGTGCCAAAAAAATGTATCCACATTTGAAGAGATGTTATCTATGCTCAAGCAGTAGTTCTCCATAATCAGAAGTGTCTGGACGCTGATGGTAACCACTTTGAGCACTTCTTGTAATTGCAGAAGTCAAATGTGACTTGTATTCATCTTTTGTTATCGGTATATCTTGAGTATTACAATTAATTACAGTTTTTTCCTTTCTTAAAATGTGTATACATTTTTCTGGCACCCTCTGTATATAATATATTTCCTCTTCATAGATTTTGAATCTTT